AGCGCTTCATGTGCTCTGTGGAATGGACTGCTTTCGCCTGTGAAGGCTTGTTCAGGCTTTCCCTTCTTTCTAACGAGAGTCCCAAAGGGCTACGCAGGCGGAACACAGCAGGAGTGAGGGAGAGGAAGCGAATCCCGTTTAAAGAAAAGTAATTTCAGTATTCCAAAACCTGCTTGGCAGATCTTACCCGATCTGACTCCAGTGGTGTGCTGTGGGCTGGCTCCTGTAAAATAACAATGAACTTCTCATTTTCAGTTGTTTCTTTGTTTTCGTCTGTCAAGAAAATCTTACTGCAACCTTGTTGCTGTTGTCACATAGCTTGCAGTGTGGATCGAAGGAGGACTTGCATGTGACAACGTTGCCTTCAGCCCATAGTTTTCCTGGTCCTAAAAACTACTTACTGTGCTTTTTAGACATGTTTGGAAAACGCTGCAGGTTTGAAACCTCTGTTGGACTCTGTATTCACCTAAGGTGCAAGAGTGTACCCCGACAACCTGATTGTTAAAGCTAGATGGTCAGAAAGGCTGACCAAGCTCAAAGCCCTGTAGGTCCATCAGCATCTGAGGCAGCTTTTCTCAGGCCAGCATCCATCGTGAAACTCAACTCTGAAACCCAAGGGCTGCCCCTGCTCTGGGGGGAGCATACCAGCGAGGGAAGCCAGCCCAGGGCATCTCCAAGGCTGCCTGCAGAGGGAAGTGTCGGGGACAGAGCCCTCTTCAGCGGGGGCTTTTCCCTCAGCACGCACATAGAAGGTTTAACTAACACATCCTAGGGGTGCATGTGGCTCTCTTAGGGGTCAAGTAGGGCCATTGCTGCAATGCTAGGGGTAGGCAAAAAGGACAATGTATGAAGTAGCAGGGGCGCCACTCTGAAATCTGTCCTCTTAGTATACCAAAAATGTTGGTTTGAAAGTCCCTTTCTTGAGCTTGACCTTTGTCACTAGGAACAGCCAATATAGCTGCTGTGGTTCTTATTCCCTTGGTTAATATTTGAAAATATTTCCCATGGAATTTCTGAATAACTCAGTGAGAGACTATATAGAAGGACAAAGTTTCCCCCCCCCCCAAAGTCTCTAAGTAGGCAGACTTTACACAACCACACTCATTCTCTCACTGATATCATTCATGCATTCTCTCACACCCATGCACTCACAAGTACCAAGGCGTAAGTCCACATGGTCTGGCCAGGGTCACTTGTGTGACACGGGACAAGAGGCCATGGCTGCTGCGTCCTCATCACATCCTTGAGGTTGTTCTTGGCAGGCAGCAAACCAGTTTGGGGTTGCTTTTCATACCCTTTAGGAATTGATGATGTTTACAATTTTTTGCTTCATTTTTTTTTTTCTCATCCCTCATAATTTTCAGGCAAACTTAGTGAATTTCTGTTCTCTTCTTTTTTCTCATAGTCTTGATATTTTATGACTCCAATCCTGTTCTTCATCTTCATGATACCTTGTCTGTAGGTCAGGTTGTTCCTCCTCCTTTTGTTACTGGAATGAAATGAAATCAGAGGTAGGGTGCAATCGGCACAATGGGCATGTGCCATTCCTTTAACCTGTGCTCTGCCCATCCTTCTGGTGCCTGCGTGCTTGCTCTCGCACATGCATACGCTCATACACGCACACAGGCAGTTACTTTGCCTTTGTTCATCACCGGTTTTAATACTTCTGGTACAAATTGCTGCGTGCAGACTCATGGGGTAACGTATCGGCCCCAGCGCTGTTCCTTCCATGCCAGAACTCTGTGCATCCTGCGTGTTAGTAGTGGGGTTACTTTGAATGCATTAACCCCCCAAAATGCTTGAATCCCTTGTAAGAAGGGGCATAGTTCACACCAGCTGTCCCTGTGGCAGGTTTTGAGGGGTGTGAAGCTGCTGAATATTGATTTGGTCACTTCTGCAGTGGAAGGACAAATAGGATAGGGCCCGAAAGGAGAATTTCTACACTTTATTTCTGTGTTTTCCAGCCAGAGGCATGTGCTGTGCAGTGAGCCTCGTGAATTCAGTGTCTTGTGTCTGTGATGCCTGTGGGGCCCGGGTCTGCACCACACGTATGGTGAGGCGATTGCCTTCAGCCTGGGTTGTACTTACGGCATGTGTGGAACAGTTCTGCCATAGGGATTGACTCCCACTTCTGCGCTTGTGATGCTCACTGTTACTGGGTGTCTACCGAAGGTGGGAAAGTCTGTCCCACGTGTCCTGGGCATGTTTGATTTCACTGCCCAAGTACTGCAGGACTGCTTTGTGTACAGATTTCAACTTGCCCATATGATCGCTTGCCTGGGACTTGCGGAAATTAGGCAACTGAGTTGGATCTACTGCTCTGGCTGTGCTGCCTACAGTAGAAATACTAGGCAAGAAAGCAAAATGCTTTCCATGCCTGTCTCCTTGCCCACACAAAATGTTCCAAGTAGAGCAAACAGATGTATCCAGGAGTTTTTGGTACCGATGGTAATTGCCATGATTTGTGTGTATGACAAGGGTTTATTTGATTCTCCATGCTCCACAAAGTAGTTGAGGTGGAAACCACTGAGCAAGGGAGCTGAAGATTTCTTGCTGGATTTGCTGCGGGTGGATAAAGCTGATTTCTGCCTTGTAGTAAGTTTGTGCAAGTTGGTAATTTGTCACGTGAACTGGGTAAAAATTGTTGCGGCCGCAGAGACCTTGTGCCTGGGTGCATTGTGGCACCGGTGGGAGCATCAGCTGGGTGCAGGGTGCCTTTCCTAGGGCTGGAGCAGAGGTGCTACAGTGGGCGGCTTTGCTGGCAGAGGTGGGAAAAGGTTGACTGCTAAATGCTTGCTAAAAACTGCAGTGCTGCATCTTTTATCATATAAAATTGATGTGAGAGATGTTGGAAAGTCAGTAGGCTGTCCTAATATGTAGAACATTTCGATAGAGATGTGATATTTCATATACACGGAGCGCCTGCTGATGTCACTTGAAAGTCACACTCACCCAGCTACAGCAGGGATTATCTTTTTGTGTTCTCCAGCTTTTTTAGAGGAAAGGGCAAAAATTGATCATATGCGTGTGATTATCCAGAGAAGAAAATAGACGCTAAACAATCTCTGAAGTTATTTCCTTTCTATACAATGAATAACTGCTGCATATGGAGTTACGTACTATGCACCAGTGACTTAATAAAATATAATTTTATTATTTGGATGCTTCTTTCTGACTTCATATAAAAGTTGTTCTCCTCTTTGGTTAATTTTTTTTCTCTGATACTAACCTAAGCAATGCAATTGAAATGCCAAAGCCTTACCTAGCTAATGCAGACTTCCCGTTTCTATAGCAACAAAACTCGTCCTTGTACTTAATGAAGGAATATTGGAGTGTGAGTAACTGGGACTTTAAGGTTTAGAAAAACAAACAGAATGACTTTATATTTGAAGATTAGGGAAATAAAACGGAAGTGACCTCTTTGCATAGAATAAAAAAATCGCCTAGGCTTGGGATACTTCATTAGTAAGAATGAAACCATATTAATGTAATAAGGAGCTCTATGTTTTAATCTTGTTTTTCTAATGAAAATGTAAAAGGCTTTTATAGCAAGTAAGAGTCTTTGAGGGTTTTTTCCCCCCCTTTCTTTTCCAAAGCTGCTGTGTTTGTGGTTAAGCTAATGAAAATTTGGACCGCCTTGCAATGGATACATTTTCCTTCTGTACTGGCAAAAATCCATCGGTATTTTTCTGTTGTTGGCTGAAAAGAAAGGCAGGGGGGAAAAAACAATGTGTGGTGTTTAATCCTACATTTGGTCTGCAAGCTAGTTCCTGGTCAGCTAGTTTAAATCTGTGTTACAGTGATAAATGCTTAACAAGCTACAGATGAGTGAGTGAATGAAGGAGCAGCTGTCATCCCTTCCTATTGTCTTATGGCTTTTCAATTACAATTTTAACAACCGTTAAATTCTAATTTAAAACAACCGTAGGAAACATCCCAAGGAAAAGCAACAATGCTGACAGCAACATATCACTAATGTTTACAAGCTATGTTTCTGTATCAGCGTGCTGATAAGTACTACACAACATTTGTGGCAGGTTAATTGTGCTTAATTATTAATCTGTAGAAGTGAATGCGGGCAAATGGGAAATATGAAATAGGGGCTTCTATTGCAATCTCACTGGCAAAAAAAATGTTTGAATATATTTCCACAAGGCAGTCCAATTTTTCTGCTATTTCTTCTGTGATTTTTTTTTTTAAAGCTGTGATTCTGATAAATTCATCTTTATTTCTGAGGACTAAATAAAAGGTAGCCAGGGTTTAAGGAAGCTTTTATCTACTGAATGCACTTGTCACAAGGCAGCTGAGACAACCGATGATACCAGTGATGGCAGTAAATTGCCCCACAGCAAAAGGAAGGATGGAGGACAGGATAAGACAGATGGAAGGCTGGGTTGTTTGAAAGTTGATCAAGATTAGCTATTGTGAAAACAAAAAGCAAACCCAGAAACGACCCACTCAGCAAAATCCAGCTTGAAACTGGCTGAGTCGTAGCATGTTAAACTGTGGGCAGGTGGCATCCCGTATGAGCTGGGCAGCTGTATCCTGCTGAGAGCTGCGCTCTCCTGCCTCCCAGCAAACTGATTGGAAAGGCATGCGGTGTCTCTGAGAAATGCGAAAAGGCTCGACCCAAAATCTTTGGATTGTATTTTAGCTTATGTTCCCCTCAAAAAACCAAACATCTTACAATTTGGTAAAATGCTTCCCTAGGCAGAGACTGAAGGAAAGCTGATGATGAGGATACAGCAGGTCTGCAGGAGATGCAATAGGTGTATGGAAGTTGCAATATTTGCCCCACGGCCAGCTGTTAATGGGCTTCTCTATTGCTGCTAGGGTATTTGAAGCCTAAAGACAGGAGGAAACAAGATTTATCTGCTTGTGCATAACTTTGGCCAACGGTCTAGAAGGACATTAACTCCCTGAAAGTTTCATAAAGAGATGCTCTGTGGGTGCCTTTGCTGGTGGGGAGCTAATGCGTTTGCGTGTGCTCTGTGTTTCAGGGATAGAGCTCTGTCCTCCTGGGCACCGGTTCATGATCACCATGGTGGCGAGCTTCATCGAAATGGCAGGGCAGTTCCTCATGCCGGGGCTGGCTGCCCTCTGCAGGGACTGGCAGGTCCTCCAGGCAGTCATCATCTGTCCTTTCCTGCTG